GCTCCCGACTCATTCTTTGTTATTTCCGCGTTTATGGTCGGTTGTCACGAATTGGTGGTTGCGCGAGTTGAAGGAGGGGCGTTGCCGATAAAGTTTCAAGGATCTGTCAGCACATAAGCCGGAGAAAGGCGGAAATGGGCATGAAATGGGTCAGAATAACAACAACAATAATAATAATGACAGGAGAGAGAGAGAAAGGGGGTCGATGACAAGAGACGGAGGGGTTGGGGAGAATGAACCATACATGTTCATAAACGCAGACAGCCATACACACATTTAGGCAAATTTATTAGCGTAAATGTACAATTATACAAATACTCACACATATCTCCGGCTCTATAAGAGTGGGAAAGAAAGTAAAATTAGGGGAAAAAAAAAAAAAAAAAAAAACCTGGCAAATGCCTGGTGGGAAACAACCTGTAGAACCCCATTCAAAATATATAATAACTGAAAGACGATATGTTAATGCTACCGAATTAGGAATTTTACAATTAAAAAAAAAAAGACAGACGAACAGATTTTGGAAAGCTATCCAATGTTTTTAGATTCCAGTCCATAGGTTTGAACTTGAGACTGTTGCTTCATAAAAAAAAAAAAAAGTGAGAATTGGTAGAAGTCGAAAAGAGAAACTCACCCAACGCGATAATAGAAAAAAAAGTGACTTGTTTTGTTGACAAGATTCAGTAAACCAACGTAAAATAGTGTTTTTTATTAGAAGTGTTGATATAAGTGGGCAGAGGCAGCGTGTTACTGTTAGGGTTTAACTGTCCCCACTCCTAGCAATCGAATTCTGGGAGTGGAACCAATTTTGCAGTGTCGAAATTTTGGCAACCCGATAAGATGCTTTTTTTTCCCTTCATGATACAGACGCATATATATATATATTACACACACACATATACATATAAATTCTTTTATGTTTGTTTCTCTGTTAAAATCTACCAATATGTGAAGAAGGAAATAGGAAGTTCTCACGCATCTTACGCCGGGCATGGTATAGTGATCTCTTCGAGTTGTAGACGGATATCAAAGCGAGGCTGACTGATGTATGCATATTGACCTTCGAACTTTACAGTGATACTTTCTCATTAAATAATGCATTTTTTACAAGTAAAATAAAATGAAAGAAAATAGAATGAAAGAAAATGTACAACATAAAATAACAAGAGGAAGGAGGAGAATTAAGTGAGGCGAAAACAAGAAACTGGATTCCAAATGTCGGAAGGCGAATTATGAATTGCGAAAAGTTGAATTCTGAGGGGAAAAATTAAAAATAATAATAAAGTGGAATGGAACTAAAGAAGGCAAAAGTTTAGCCTCCATTGGTTCTAGTTTATTTTGCTGTATTCATTTTTTAATCTTTCCTCCCTACAGAAATATTTCATGGTTCATTTAATTTCATGTTTTTTAATAAAATTTGGTAAAGTCAGCTCGGGTTTCGTTTTCCATTAATTTTAAAATTGCATGGGTAGACAAAATAATACTTGAGTGAAATATAAGTAGGAAGACTATGTTGCGTCAATTTTTACATCGACTCAAGCAACAATTAACATCAGTGGCAAATAAGTAATTAGGTAGTCTACCAACTGATCTTTTCTCTCTTTTATATTATATATATATATATATATATATATATATATATATATATATATAAGGTGGAGATTAGGGTCAAGCCAGCGGCGACAGTCTGTTTCATGCTTAAACGCCATGAAGGGCGCTTCGCTTATTGACCTCAATGTCCATAATATAATAACGTTGTCAGGCGGCGCTATATGAGGAAGATGGCGTTGTTTCTTCACCGGTTGTACGCCATATTGGATTGCGCTACATCCGCTATCTCTCGTTTGTGTCGTTTTTTGGGGTGGGGAACTTTTTTGCCCTTCATTATGGCTCCCAAATGTGGGTGCTTGTTAGGGGAGTTCCGACCTACGTCGAAAATCGGATTACGTCGTGTCGTAGGAACGGATCTCCGACGTAAGTTGAGGACCCCCTGTATATTATATATAGTTTGTGTGTGTTAGATTTTATTATGTAAGTCAATATTTTCACAATAATATTGGCATTACCCAACCGATAGTGGTAAAGTTTTCAGGCTATACTTATATTTACAAAAGAAATATCTCAAAAACCAAATAATGACAACTTGTTTGGTCGGTGTCATTTATTAGTATGCAAACAGTTTTTATTCGCAAATAAGGACAAAAAGATAGAAAAACATATTTGATTAAGCCGTTTCTAGAGAAAAATATTTTAAAATGCATTACTATATTAAATATTTATATATTATACATGCAATTTGTCCTGGTCCTGTGAGTATCAAATTTTCTAAGCTCCCTTTCCTCATTATATGCCCTAGACATTTCAACTATCACTTCCTGATGCAAAGTATAAGTGTCCTTTTTGTTTCCATTTTCTGTAATATTTCGTCGTTACTCACATGTTCAATCTATGATATTCTTAGCTTCCTTCTGTAGAATCACATTTCTGTTGCTTCAAGTCTCTTCTTCATATTTGAAAAGATTGCCCAGCATTCACTGACATTACATCACAGTTCAGTATTCTTTTTTTTTTGTTTCTAGCCAATGTTTCTGTTTCTTAATAATTTGCTTAACTTTTCGAAGGTGTCTGTCGGTATCCCAATGCACCTTCGGATTTCAGTGTCGCACTTCCCGTCCTCTGTTAAAACACTTCCAAGATATTTAAATTATTGTATTTGTTTGATTTTGGTGTCTTCAATGTGTAATTTGTATGTTGGGTTGTTCCTCTAGCTAACAACCATGTATTCTGTCTTCTTGAAATTGATGTTTTGTCTTTCCTTCACACTTTCCTTCACTACCTACTGTAGGAGTTCGTGTAGTTGCACTTCTGTGACTACTTCCAACACTGTGTCATCTGCATATCTTACATTGTTAAGACTGTAGCCTCCAATAATGAATCCTGGTAGGACTTTTTATATGCAGATATTTACAAATGATTACTCATTTTCGTAAGGATTAAGTTGAAGTTAGTTTAAATTTGGTTTCCGTGGTCGCCTGAATAGTATCAAGTGAGCTAATCAAAATTGCACTCAATGAACTTAAATGTAGCAAACCAGTTGTGTGTATATATATATATATATATATATATTATTTTCTTTTATTCAGGCACGCGCTGATTGTGAGGGAATGTGAAAATTTCACTTTGGATTATTGTCATAAGTTCAGATATAACAGCGTTTATCAAATAGTTGAATAAGAAGAGTGGGGAGAGGGGAAGTGGAGGGGTAACAAAACTGGATTAATTAATAAAATACAATGTAAAGAACAGAAGGAAGAATCAAAATTATTGGAATCGTGGGAGCCAAAAGTCATTTTGGAAATATTCCCGAAGAAAGAATGCTATGTCACTGAAAATATGACAATAAATTTGGAACTGCATCGACACTATTTCTCAGCCGGGGTACGGGACAACCCCATTTTCTACCCTTATATATTGAAATATAACACCTGTGGATTACGAATCGATTTTCGGGGTGGGTGTGGCGAGAGACTTCTTTCTCGCCACTGATTCCAACAATTCAATTTTTAATTCAAACAAAAGGTTACATTTTTTTCCTATCACGTAGCCATAAAATGTCATACGTGCATGAACTCATGTATACAAATACTTTACATGTAGATACACTATTATTACTTGTATGCTCTAGCTCTCACACACACACATATATATATATATATATATATATATATATATATATGTGTGTGTGTGTGTGTGTGTGTGTGTGTGTGTGTGTGTGTGTGTGTGTGTTTCAGCTTGTAATATAAGTTTTATCTGAAATATTTACTTTTATTATACAACTCACTTGTTGCCCAATATGTATATGTCGGATTAGTAAATTAAAATCCATTACTTCTTAAGAAACTATATATATATATATATATATATATATAGGTAATCCGTTGGTATATAATCCAAGTGAATCCTATTAACCCAATATTAAATATTAAAACTGATTAACACATATTTTTATAATAAACAGAGCAATATATTTCATACAATCGGAATTAAGATACCATTATATAAATGATCATTTTCACTTTGTAAAATTAAATTTAACGGATTTTTCAGTCAAGAATGATAAATTTTTTAAATAAATTTATCATAAATAAAAAAAAAATATCATCCATTGAATGTTTGAAAAATCCTGCAAATTTAATTTTACAAGGTGAAAATGATCATTTACATATTGGTATCTTAATTCCGATTGTATGATATATATATATATATATGTGTGTGTGTGTGTGAGCGTGTGTGTATTATATATACCTGACATACCTAATATATAGATATAGATCTGCGAATCTCGGATGATAAATCATTGTACCATATATATATTTAGTCATTGATAATTATTTTTATTTAAACTATATGAAAATTGCTACAGGTCATAAGATATAAGAGAAAGAAGTTATTAAAATTATTGAACCATGGGAAAAAGTGAAAACTGCGAAACGCTGAACAAAGATCATAGACTAAATATAACAACTGAAATTGAAATCATTGGCAAGAGAAGAAAACTATCTAGCGTTAAGTATGTCACAAAAAGAGATTTTTAGAAAAATTAAAACCAGTTAATAAGCAGAAAAAGATGGACTAACAGGAAAACATCTGAAGAATCCAGTGTTGAGTATGTAAACAAATAGAAAAAAAGACGCAAAATATAAAAAATATTGGCTATAAACATGAAAGTAACCAATCGATTCGATTGATTCGTTTTTTTATGGCTTATCAACCCTTTGCAGGTTATTTAAAGTCAGAAAATATTTTTAGATTGTTAGAATTTTTTTAGATAATAATGGTTTAGTGATACAAGTCCTACTAATTAGCCCATAGCTAGAGGAGAAGAGGTAGATTTGTATATTTGTGCGTAAGTGAATATAACGAACCTAACGGGAATTGGAACTCGGTTCTCTGATTAACAATTCCGAGCCATTATCCATTAAACCATCAGCACATCCAAGCTTACAACACCTGGTATTCCGAAGCGGTCACCCACCTAGGTACTAACCAGCCCCGATATTGCTTAACTTCAATGATCGTATTGGAATTAACCAAAATACCATATTTAAGTAAACATCAATAAGAGGAAGGTCAAGCATTTATTAGACATAGTGGAGATGATTTTCCACACGTAAGTTTTTGCCGCTACAGATACCAGAGAACTCAGCAACCAAGTATTACTCAACATCTCTCCAGAGGTCTTCTGACCACTTGTGGAATCGATGTCATATCGAGTTGCTGCACTTCACCGATAAAGAAGACATTCTACACAATACTAGGCACCTAACACGTAACTTTTGCACGCCAGTGTATATACAGAGTCCACTAAAAATGTATACAGACTTCAGGAAAGGAAAAACTTGTCTTTCGTAGTTTTATCAAATTGAGATAACACTCTTTACTGTAGTATTTTATCGGCAGATGGCATTACCCTCATGGCTGTAGCGTCAGCAAGTCTTAAAGGATTGCAGAAAACCGGCGGCCATAAGACAAAAATTTGAAAATGCATGTGCAGTAATCCAACTGGACACTTTGGTCAACATGGTGCCGTACATGAAATATCAGAAAGCTAAAGGACGCCATAAAAGCATCTCTATTGATTGTAGAGTTCAAAATTAACTTGTATTAATCTCGTGATTTATTGAATAAATTTAGTATTTTTAATATATATACAAATTTTTTCGCTTGCTGAAGTGTATATACATTTATTGGCGGACTCTGTATGTATGTATATATTTGTGTGAAAGTATGTACTTTTAAATTTTTTGTAGTCTGCTTTGTGGAGTAGAAAATTGCATATTTATTATTGATGCCAATGGTATTCCAAAATTAGGATATTGAAAGTCAATTTCTAAGAAGGCAATCTTTATGTTCCTATTTACTCTTATGTAGTACTCAGTTGATCTTAAATTTCTAAATTTGCTTGGTAGAGGAATTCATTTAGCCTTCCGTCGTATTAAGCTAAGCCAAGTAAATATGACATGCCTAGCTAGCTAATCTCTGTTGCAGACACTTACTCAGACACATTTGTGTTTGTTCAACACTCTCGGAACCAACTTATGGTTCATATTGCAGCTACGCTGAGCGGACCTTAGTTACAGTATCTGGGAGAAAGCACATAATCTGACATGATCGGCAGTTTGAACAAGGTCAGTACTCTCAACGCTTCGGTCACAATGACTTGAGACTTTGTGCTAGCACAATTATTCATACCTCCTGAATAGTTTCGGTTACCCAATTTTATTCACATGGTTTGGTTAAACAGATTGTATATTTTTTTTCAAACACTTCTCAACTGGGTTGCATACTGATTCAAAGGCAAATCGATATTATAAAGCTACCTTCTTGACAAATCGATTATGGTGAGATTCAAAACAAAGACTCATTGAAGAAAATATTGAACAGAAAATCCTTGTCATCGTTTCACTTGTTTTCGTCTTGAAAAGATCCAAATAAAAACACGGAACAACCATCATATCATAATCATATTTTAATATTTATCAAGAAAAACAGAAACTCAACCAGTGCTTCTCAAAGGTGCGGCGGAAAAGGATAGCATGTGAAGCGAAATGATTGAAAGACAATCAAAGATTTAGAAACAGTTTTAAAAAATAATTCATATGGCAAAAATAAATATGATTTCAAAATTTAAAATAATATTATGGATTACTTGTAATTGCGTGCATGAGTCATAGTATAAATAGTTATAAATAATTATTGACCTATTTTATCATTGAGATATTTTTGCATATATCAAGTATTAAGAATATAGTAACTAGGGTTGGCAAATTGGAGGAGAGAATTATCAATGATATTGTTTTGACTTCGAATTCGCGGTTATCTCCATTAAACAGTCTGTCTGTTTGTTTTGTTTTTTTATTTTTAAATGTACTTTTTATTACATAAAATTTGGTGAGGCGCGAGCAAATTTTAATTCCGAAAATGCGACCCAGAGGAAAAAAAAACGTTTGGGGACCACTGAACTAAACATTTGCACACTGAAAAAAAATATAAGGATTTACAATGTGCTCACTGCAACCTTCCATAGAAAGTTGATCAAAAATTGTTGTTATCTTTTTTTACGTATACATAACCCGAGGTTTCGAAATCCAAAAGGAGAAACTGACACAATATAATAAATTTAAAATTTAATAAATAGTATTGCATCGTAAAAATAAATACAACAGAACAGTCAAAAATATCAGCACGGTTGCTTGCGTTTAATACATGCAAAATATAGTTCAGTGGGTTGTGATCTTTAATATTTGAACTGCTTCATGATTAACGATTTAGCATTTCGTCAGAGCGAAATTAGCAGCAGAAATAAATATTTAAAATCCACTGCCGCGTCAAAATAAATAATTGAAAAAAGAAAAAGTAAACATATTCATTTAAATAAGTTGCACAAGTCGTACGTAACTTAAATAATATAACATAAGACGAAGATATCTTATACGAGAAATATTAGCTTAATCATTAATCAACTGTCACGATCGACATTGATCGCATAAAAGCTATACCGTTCTGAATATTTTACTGTCCTTTTTAATCTTTGTAAACTAAAGTTGAAGTGTTGTTAATTCATCTTGTTTTTGACTTTTCTAATAGATTCCCTAACATTTCTTTATGACGTCATTTTATTCAACAATCCTAACCAATCAAATTTTGCAAGCAGTCTTGAAATACAACGCATATATCTATCAATCTAACTGGATCGCCTTTTATAATAATGCTTCTTTCATTCAGCAAGCTCAGTTAATGTAACTGTACACATGCCTCACGAACAAAGGATTTTACTTATACAAATAAACACTTATAACAACAGTAGCTAGATTAACAAAGAAATATTTTCATATTATTATATCAATGCTTGCAAACGTAAAGGTATTCAGGGAAAACTGAATCCACTCCAATTATAATAATCTACAAGATTGTATGACTCACGATTGGTCGAATGCAAAGCAGCCAATTTCGTCATACGATATTTGCTTTCAAAGTTACGTACAGAATTTGATGATATTGTTTAAAATTTATTTAGTTACACGATTAATAAGGCTTTTAACTGTAGGCCTTGACATAAAAGTCTATACGCACTAATAGCATAAAGAGTTCAGTGAACTTAATTTGTTCAATATATATATATATATATATATATATATTATATATGATAAGCATCCCGTCAGTGATACGCAATTTCCCTTAATTCACAAATTTCAGAAAAAAATATCAATTTTAAATGCAACTTGGGGTCAGGTTTATATAAAGAAACACCTATAACAAATCTAATATCTTTGGTGAGCAATACTTACCAACATATATAAAACTCATTCTATATATATATATATATATATATATATATATATATATATATATATATATATATAATCTTTCAATCATTTCATCCCAAGAAAGGCAAAAAAGCCATTAAGACGCAAGAAGTTACCGAGAAAAAGTAAAATATTATTAAGAACACTAAAAGAACAGGAATTAAGAAGTTTAAAGATAACGATTGGCATTGCATTTATATTTTTGAAGATCAAAGTTAACTGGAAAAGTAAATAGAGTTCCCTAAAATAAACTGCTGTTAGCATAGAACTTACGGTTACATCAAGCCATTTCAACTTATAAAATGATGAGACCTAGCTACCAATCTAGTACTGCGCTTAAATTCGTAAAGTTGAGGTACCAAAGATGAATGTTAATCACGTCAGGACCAATAACACTGCAGATTCTTCTTTGGATTTTATTTAGAATCTCTAAATACATAGCAGATGCACCAAATGAGATGTGACAGCAATATTCAATACATGGTCGAATGGTAAACTTATGAATGTATAAGATATATTCTGGTGAGAAAAATTCTCGAGAACAACACAGTGAACAAATTAGCACCAGACCTAGTAATTGATTCAATATATCTTTCCCCTTCATGCCAGCGGAAAAAGTCTGATTATATATATATATATATATATATATATATATATATATATATATATATATATATATATATATATATATATATAAATTAATGCATGTTTCATTAAATAATATAGTAGACAAGTTTTGTTTATTTATTTTAATCAAAATCGTTTCATATCGGCTGATAAGCTTAATAATATCATCACTGAAAGACAAAAGAAAATCACCATATTTTTAATCACCATATTTTTTTATCCTATCTAAGCTTTCGGCTTACATAAGCTATCATCAAAGATGACAATTACATTATAACAAATTAAACAATACAAGGACATAGCAACAATGATAGTCTGTTTTGTTTGCATGGAAGATTTCTAAGCAACAATAAACTCGTGCATACGAGACGCTGGAAGCGAAAATCGCACCGGGTTCCATGACATCGCACATGACCACGCGAGAGTGAAAACGAGAAGTGTTAAATATAGGAAGCAGTTTGTATAAACCAATGGCTTCTGTTATCAATATTAGGCATTTAAGAATATTTGTGGAGTTTTCATAGTTTATTTTGTACAAGTTAGGTTTCAACTGTTTTATGTATATAGCTTCAAGAATTTTTAACTTTTGTTTGTTTTCATGTTTAAGTATAGTTGTGTTTAAACATGAAAATAACAATTAATAACAGATACTTGGTTTGACAAACCCCTCAAAAGCTTCTGGATATGGAAAATCCCTTAATAAGACATGAGGAATCTGTTCAGCCGATGGCATGCTGAGTTCTTGCAGCATGCTAACCATTGAGCAGATTCCTAGTGGATATAGTCAACCTACTAACAGGGAAGTCCTCATCCTAAGTTAGAAACTCAGAACACTTAGTGAAACAGATCCAAGGGGTTCTTATCCATAACAATCGGATGGTAAAGCTTGGATGTGGTAAGCCTGTTCACCAGAGTTACTACAGATGAGGCACTGACAGTGGTTCGAAACCGACTGGAATCAGACATTTCCCTGGGAGAACGGTCTAACATTCCAATAAATAATCTAATAGAATTGTTTACGTTCTGTGTATAGACAACATTCTTCCAAATACTAGTCTGACATATACCAACAGGAAGAAGGCTTGACTATGG